AACATCGACCAGACTACACAGCGCAACAACCCAGAAGACAGAAATTTTCATACTCATCGCCCTGATGATGGAGGCAGTATGACCTCTGAAACGTTGGTTAACATCGACCAGACTACACAGCGCAACAACCCAGAAGACAGAAATCTTCATACTCATCGCTGTGAAAACCTCAAATCTTACAACGTGACGTATTATCTTTGTAGTTGTGTTGTATGGAGTGTGTTGACGCGATATAAGCGGGGTATCGACTTTTATGAACGAGAATTTAAAGGTATAGTCCGTATCAGAATACATACAATTGTAAATGCAGGTTTTAAATTATGAATGCTCCTTGCGGATGTAAAAAATGCCGTATAATGCTTTACCGTATCTTCCATAAACGCGTAAGAAAAACAGAGTGAAAAACATACGCGTTTCTTTTCAGTATAAGATTTATTTATTTACTCTTACGTTCTTATATTCCTGATTACAAAATAAATGAGAGAATTACAGTCTAAAACACAAGCTTTCTACCATTACCACTAGAATACAGTGAAATGTGTTCGATGTTGTTTTATTTATTCTAGAATTTATTTGTTTATCGAAGTCTGATAATTGAAAAAAACAGTACAGATTCAGATTACAAATCGATCATGCTTCTCTAAAACAAGTATTAATAAAAAACGTCTTTTATCTTACTTCGACAATCTTAACTTCGAACAAGACAAATCATGTGTTTTCGTTATCTTTCTTATGTGACGTAGGTGATAACACTCTAGCACAATGGAGGTTATCTCTGTTAACAGCGTGATGGATTCGTTCGCGCGAAGTAATGAGACTGAGTCCAGGACAAAGTCACTTTCTTCGGTTTCATGCAGCCGCCATATTGTTTTACATTTTTCAGAGAATAAATTGCTATGCCAGAGATGTATATTTTTCTTAAAGCCATTTATCGCTTGTAAGAAATTTAAAAGTATTATTTTAGAGTAGACCCCAGTAGTATAACGTTTATACTAAACTTCATCCAAAACCGTCCAGCATTTATCAAATTGGATCACGACGACAGACGGACGGACAGACATTATCAGCCGTGCATGTGTTCATTTCGTGCACATTCTACAAAAACCACAACAACAAAAAATTAAAATTGCACAAAGTTGCCAACATTTCGAACGTTTATCTGCTTGTCTGCATTTTTTTCCAGTGACTAAATCAATTAGTGTATTTGAGTCTGGTTTTAGTTTAATATGTGTTCAAATTTCCCGATTTTATAAACATGGAATTTCTCTCTAATATCCACATTAAGTACAGTTATTATTTGTTTTCAAACAGAAAAAAACACCATATAAAAATAATAAATTAAATCGATAAAATAAATACGGTAACTGTAAATAACGGTTTCAGTATGGAAGGTGGTTTAAACCGTCAAACCACTCTTTCGCCGTGCTGTTATATATTCCATAAAAATTTGACCTTTCGAAAAGTTATGAAATTTTTAAACGTATTGCCACCACGTAAAATTCCTTACGCCCAGCAGTAAGAACTAATGAGCCTACTTTTCAGTGTCACGCACAGGGAACATTGCTCTGTAGTATCATTTTGCCAACAAAATTGTAGATAAAGTCCCATTGTTTGTGGGTGACAGGTTGTTCGCAAGATGTTTGCCCTTCTGAGGCTTGCTGTGCTGACCTGCTGCTGGCTGATCGCTCACTGCACAAGAACGTCTCAAGTTGCCGACGACAATGACGCAGACTTGTATTTAACCTCGGTAAGAACGCTTTTCGTTGCGAATAACGGGGGAGATACTGAAGAAAACATTTTCCATCGAAACGATATCTCCCAACCCTTTCCATGCTTAGTTGTTCAAAAATAAATGTCTGCATTTGTTTTGTCTATGCTATGTTCTAGAGGAGTGGTATTCTACCTGGGGTACGCGTACCCCCGGGGGTACGTGCAATTTTAAAAAAAATATATATATTAATTTATGATAAACACTGAATAACCAGTAATGTAATTTATTTAATTTATTTTAGATGTAGATTATATACTATGTATAACTTGAATTATACACCAACAACTTTGGGGGTACAAAGTTGAAGAGAAATTATATCTGGGGGTACGCGAACAAAAAAGGTTGAATACCCCTGTTCTAGAGCTTGAATAGCATACAACAGAAAAGGCTATTATCCATTCAATATTTCTATCGATATGCTGGTGTATCATTTTCACAGCATTGAAAGGTTTAAAGACCCGTTAGGTCCATTCTATTTTCAGATATTATTGCCTACTAAAACTTCTATTCTAATTTAAACGCTTCTGGAATTTTGCTAGTGATATCGAGAAATGTTATGGAGAGACGCTGAATAGGTAATGATTAAAAGACGGCTGTCTTCGGCCTCGTTGCACATTAATCGCTCGGCTGGTGTATCATTTTCACAGCATTGAAAAGTTTAAAGACCCGTTAGGTCCATTCCATTCTTAGATATTATTGTCTACTAAAACTTCTATTCTAATTTAAACGCTTCTGGAATTTTGCTAGTGATATCAAGAAATGTTATGGAGAGTCGCTGAATAGGTAATGATTAAAAGACTCGTTGCACACTAATCGCTCAACATCACCATGATGATGGAGGCAGCAATCACCTCTGAAACGTCGGTAAACTTCTACCAGATTATGTAGCGGAACAACCAAGAAGACAGCCATCTTTATAATCATAGCCGTGAGAACCTGAAATCTCTCAACGATTTTGATGGTGGCGGTCGTAGCCTATTTAAAGGCAGGCTACCGTTCTGATATTCTGACGGACAGACTTGAGGAAAACTGTAAAAACTTTTAAGATATCGGCAACACGTCCGACATTCGAATCGGGTACCATCTAATCCAATTCTAAAGTAGGAAATGCATTTTATAGAGGTCTAAAACAATGGTTGTCAACCCACGGCCCGCCGATACGTTTTTTGAGATCGGCGTACACTTTTCGGAAAACTGTTACTCTGCACGATGAAAAATAGTTACCTGATATTTAAAACACTTTTTTTTTTTGCTTAAAGCACAGCGGTGTACCAAATCTTACACAATTATATGAATATTAATTTTTCCCATAATTTATATTTTTGGGTTTCGTAAGTTTTCGGAACAAAAATCGATTATTTCCTTGAACAAGACTAAGCAACTATTCCTAGCATCCGAGATATTTTGTGCTTTACTTGAGGTAAGAAATGAACTTAAATCCAGGTTAGGTTAGGTTAGGGTTAGGGTTAGGGTTAGGGTTAGGTTAGGGTTAGGGTTAGGTTAGGTTAGGGTTAGAGTTAGGTTAGGTTAGGTTAGGGTTAGAGTTAGGTTAGGTTAGGTTAGGTTAGGGTTAGGGTTAGGTTAGGGTTAGGGTTAGAGTTAGGTTAGGGTTAGGGTTAGAGTTAGGTTAGGTTAGGTTAGGTTAGGTTAGGGTTAGGTTAGTGCATAATTATCGCTATGAGAAACTATAGAGTTTAATGAAGAACGTTAATCAGAAAGTAGAAGCCGTCTCCCTGCTGAAGATTTGGCAGGATGCGTGCAAATATTAACAGCACAAATTAGACCTGTTACGCAAGCTAAAACAATATCAAATATCTCACTAAAGACTGATTATGTAAAGGAAAATGATTCAGTAATTTATCAAGTTATATGTAACAGTAAGTAAAATTTAGTATCACGTTTATTAAACTGTCATTCCGTTGGAATACATTGCCTTCATTTGTAACCCTGTGGCCCGCGAGTCGATAAGAAACGGTGAGTGTGGACTCAGGTCCCAGAAAGGTTCAGAACCGCCGGAATGTGGATTTAGAAAGTGCAATTTTGGGTTTCTTACTGTGTGTAGATGTTTCTGAAGAACATAATATCTCCATTTTGGGGGTTTAAGATGACGATATTACCTACCTCTGAATCTGGGGCACACAGCGCAAAAATATATTACCTACCTCTGAATCTGGGGCACTCGGCGCAAAAACTCAAAGGCCACCAAGCATGTTGACGTCGCAAATTCTGCCCTCAACTTTTATTTAGATGGTAGGTATTTGATTAAACGCAAGACCACGTGATTTATTGCTGTGTTTAATGTAATATCTGTATTATTTCATTAGCATTGTACCTCCAATGAATGATCTTTATTAATATTGATTTACAGTCCTGTTCAACTGTAAAGAACACATTATTCAAAATACGCATGTCACTAAATGCAGTAGTCTAAGAATGACTACTTTAAATGTTTGTTACAAGTTGTTTATTTGACATGACAAACTATAGATGTGGCGTATTATATTGCAGAGCGCGTATGGCTTCTGCAAAGATTACAATAGGCCTAACAAATATGTGTCCAAGGAAACCTGATAAAAGACTCTTGGGAGATCTAGACGTTGACTTGAAGTTGATTAAAAATTAATCGTAGAGAAGTATGGTGTGATGATAAGATGAATGAACTGGAATGCCTTAGATAAAAATCAGAATATTTCTTTAGTAACTATCAGTTTCTTAAGGACTGTGCACCACAGAGTTGGTTTACTGTTAAGTACCGCACTACATTAATTTTCTCTGGAACGCCACCGCGCATGTGATCACACGTGCTTTAATCGCTTACAAGCCTTGAATTGTAGCCGGAGCTGATCGCGAAGTATGGTTACCCAGTGGAGACGCACAGCATTCAGACAGAAGACGGCTATATCCTGGAGCTCCATCGCATTCCTCATGGGAAATCAGAGCCAGCGGACACGATGAGACCTGCAGTGCTCATTCACCACGCTCTGCTCTGCAGTTCTTTCGACTGGGTCGTCCTGGGTCCACAAAAGTCACTCGGTAAATCTGGGTTCAAGGATTCGTAAGTTATTTTCTGCATTTAATAACTCTCTGTCCTTGTTTCTTTCTCTATTTTACTTTATTGTTTATTTTTGTTCGTTCTTCTCTTTCTTACCGATGTTTCTATGCAGTTTGATCTGTTAGACATTGAATTAAAAGACATTTCAAGCATACGTTTTAATAAGTTTATTTGAAATCCGTCCATTAAATTCGGACTCTGAAAGTCCGGGCAGTCAGACGGACGGACGGACACACGCCTCATTGTTTATGCGTTGTGCGAAAAGAATTAGGCTCGCCTGCAAGCACCAATCGAAACCGAATTCGATATCCCAGTGTCCGTTACCGTCTCTGTTACTCGAAGGCGTTACACGATACTTTACTGATTAACGCCTGCTAATGGAGACTGTAAGCACCTCTGAAACGTCGGAAAACTACAAACAGAACACACGGCTTAACATTCCAGAAGACAGTCTTCTTCAAAACAATTATAGCTAACACATTCCTGGACAGTACAAAGTCTTAAAAATTGGCTCAGTATAACCAATGTTTTACACGAAACTCAAATTTGTTTTATTAATGTTTTTTTTCAAAATAGGGTGATTACGTAATTAATTGCTATTGAAACAAATGTAGATCTTTTCAAGATTTACTTCCAATATTTGTAACTTTGTTCGACTGGTATTTACGTAACGAAACACAAGTAATGATTAATGGTTAAGGAGTCTCGTGTTTGTATGTGACTTTTTTGTAACGAATAATGAAATTAGTGCAGAATACATTTGGAAAAAATATTTCTTCTGCTTTTGACTGAAATCTGCTTTCCTGTTTGAAGCTAAGTGTGTATCAGACGTCAGGACAAAAACCACGTCCTTATAATAATAGGATTTGCGTCGCAGGATTCATCCTGGCAGATTCTGGATATGACGTGTGGCTGGCAAATGCTCGCGGAAACACATACTCCAGGAAACACGTGTCCCTCGATCCAGCAGACCACAAGTTTTGGGAATACAGGTAATAGTAACGAACTTATATCTTTCGAGCTGATAAGTATCGATTCAGATTAAAATTTTTGACATATGAATTTTTTTACATATTTTAATTTATACACGCTCTAAACTAGCACTAATATGCAAACATATTAGAAATTATTTTTGTCTTTGAAGTTAAAGTCGGCAGAGGACGGGCTAACGAAATTCGATTTGCTCCTTGTCCAATTTAGTACATTGCGTTCACTGATAAAGTTGAACGCAATTGTCATTTCCCGGCTCTCGGCAGTAACTATTATATTGTGGGTTTGTTCATTTTATTGTTTTCATAAAACGATTTTTTGATCGTACTGGGGAAAACCTTGTAGCGTTTGGCGGTGAGTCATTTATGTTCTAGCCGGGAGCCAGAAAGTGACAGGCGCGTTAAACTATATCAGTGATTGTATGACGACTGTAGAATGATGACTCGGAACGTATGCAGAATAACATGGTATTTTGAAATAAAAACAATCCTTCTTAAGGTACAATTTGGCTGCACGCGACAGAGACAAGCGACCGAGGCAGGCGACAGAGTTACGAGACCGAGACTGGTCGCTTTCTGTCTGCTCTCTGTGCAATTACGAGCGCGAGACAAAGACAGGCGACAGAGACAAAGCACAGGAGACCGCTCTCGGACCAGTAGTGTCTCGCGACGGGCTCAGGCAGCACGTGTGTTGTTGAGTAAAATAATGGCAGAAATTAAATTTACTGGTGACCAAGATGAGCAATTGGTAGAATTAGTAGCAGAAAACCGACCACTGACCACCGACAGAAAGATCCTTCTTCGCGTCTGGTTTTGAATATTGAACTCATAGGTTTTCTTTGTTTCTTTCGCAACAAATAACACAGCAACACATCATCTTCTTCTTATTCTTCGAGTAACCTTTTTAGAAGCATTTTGTACTCATTTTTCACAGAATATGTGCACGTATGTCTCAACAAAACAAAGAAAACAAACACTTTGCCGCATGTCTCGGTCGTCACCTCAAAAGTGTGTGGCGACAAGCTGCGATGTGTCCGTCTCCCGTCTCTGTCGCGTGCCTCGGTCGCTTGTCTCTGTCGCGTGCAGCCAAATTGTACCTTAACACATACAACTATGTTTCCAGAAGATTCCGCGAAGCCTTATTCTGTCTGATTCACAAGATTCGGTAAATTTTGGAAACTGTTAAATGTTAGCGAGGTCTGTAAGTTGAAGGAATGCACTTCGCTTCCGGTGTAACTTGAAACGAAGTATGTTTAAGAGAAAGCTAGAAACGTTTTATTTAACCTTCGGTAAAAACTGTCGCCCTTCGTGCAGTAACACAGCTTGGCAGATCTGACTCTTCACAGAAAGCCGACAATCGCCCCCCACGTCTGAGTATGGAAGCTTCTCCTTATCATTTGCTTTACTTCTGCGTAATTTAATCCCTGACGGACGATAATTCAGATTGGCATGTGAAAATTTAATGCCATTAAAGAATTTAGTTTTCCATGTTGCCTGTTACGAACAAATTATTTGCTTGTAAATTGTACAAAGTTGCTAGGGAGTTTTCCTGTGTGTCTAATACTTTAGGGAGAGTTTCACGCCCTCACCAGATTTAAAGATTATGTTACTCAAGGAAGTAAATTGTGTTGTTATTATTAATTACATAATTAAACCCGTCTATACCGTTCAGGTCTACGAGAACTCTCGTTTGTATACATCGGCTACTTCTGACCTAAACAGATTTGACATTTGATAATATCAGTTAGAATAATTTCTCAGCTGTCTCTTAACACACCAACCTGTGGTAGCCATCAGTAAATGTTAAACGATGCTACGAAAATTAAACTGAGCTAAACGTGAAGATTTCTGTCTTCTGGGTTGTTGCGCTGTGTAGTCTGGTCGATGTTAACGAACGTTTCGGAGGTCATACTGCCTCCATCATCAGGGCGATGAGTATGAAGATTTCTGTCTTCTG